AAAAGCTTTAATTGCTTATATTAAGGACACTTGTCTTAAGAAAAATATTTTTTGATGAATATTGAATTTGAAAAGAATTGTTTTCATTTTTTTAAATTTTAATTAAAATAATTTATAAAATTTCTGTATATAAATACAGGAATTGTACTGGTTAGGTGATATTTTTATTAAGTAAAAACTATATTTACTAATAGATGGAAAAGCTTATTACAACTAATCAGTTCCAACATTAAAAAAAAAAAAATTTTTTAATTTTTTTGTGTGTGTACTGTATAAACATGCTGATTTTTGTAAATGGATGCTCATACAAAAATAATAAAATAAGACTGATAACTACTATTTTATATATATTAACACAGGCTCTAATTTGGGACCAGATAAAATCTCTCTTATATCCGGGTTACACTAATTTCAAAACGAAAATTCATTTTGACTCAATTTAAATTAGTTTTGAAATGCAGCAAAGTATTTTGCTTACTGTAAATATTAAATAAATTTAATCTATTAGCTTGAAATTAAAACTAAAAAGCTTCAAGAAAGATTTTTTTGTTTTTAAAAAATTTTTTAAACCTTAGGTATTGCATTTGTATGGAGGTATCTACTTTGAATATTTTTATATTTTTATAAATTTTTAACATTATTGGGTAGTTAAAAAGTTATATAAGATGCTCATGTCATATTTGTCAAATAATTTTTGTAGATATGTCCCTTGCAGAAAAAATTTCAAATATGTCTATCAAGTAGGTACGTCCAATAATTTGCTGAAAAAGAGCATAGAATAATGGAAAAGGCCCAAAACTTGGTTAAAGCAAACTTTTATTATCAAAGGTTTATTAGAGGAAATAACAAATTATTTCTCAAATATTAAATTTTTTAATCCTTTCTAGCACATTTGAATTTTTGTTAAAAATTTTGTTTTTCTTGTGTCAGTGGAGACAGCAAAGATTAGTATAGGAAATTTTTTTAGCATGTAAATAAACTTTAATTTGGAAATTCTTGCAAGAATCAAATAATTGGTGGATTTTAATTTTTTTTTTTTTTTTTTACATATTACATTAATTATTTTTTAATGTTTTAAAATTCTATTTTAATTTGTCTCTTTTAGTTATTATTGAAAACTATTTTAATAATAAATTGAAAAGCTTAGTACAATACAATACAAATCATCAAACAGACAAACACCAATATTTTTAAAAGAATTTTGAATTTTTTTGTATGTGTAAAAGTAAAACGTGCCGATACGGTCAATCAACCATAGACAGCTTTACCAGAAAATAAGAGCCAAAAATACACTCCAGCCAAAAATATTTAAATTTCAATAAAACATTAGATTACGGAGAATATTTTCCTAAATTTTTAAGATTACTGAGTACTTAAAAAATGAAGACGATCACGTAATTCAGTTACTTTTTTAAAATCACAAATAGAACATAAAATTATTTTTAATCTGTCGAACCCGTGAATGCGTTAGGCTTAAAAACTGCATTTGTGCAGTATTTTAAATTTAAAAAGTAACTAGTTGATTTTTAAGTCATCAATTATACTTTAAACCAACTAATATTCCTCAAATGAAGATTCAGAAAAAAGTATATTTTATTTTTGTCAGGTGCTTTAAAGAAAATTACAGTGCGATAAAAGACACCTAAAAAAGGGCGCTAATCAGCTAATTTTTCAGAAAAAAAATGCTTTCAATTTAAATTAGTTTTTTAAATACTTATTTTTTATTTATTGGAAATATTAAATTTTATCTATTAACTTGATAATAAAATAAATGCTTCAAGAAAGTTTTTTTCATTTATAAAATTCATTTAAAACCTTAGGTATTACTATTGGTTTTCTGTTTTTTTTTCTTTGGAGGAGGAGGAGGAAGTACCTCAACATCTGATAAAAAAAAAAAACACCCACCTCCGTGTTAAAAAATTCTTTTCTGCGATATTTTAAAATAAAATAAGTAATAATTTGTATCAAATCACATTAATTAAATTTTAAATCAGATAATGTTTTTCAACGAAATTTTCAGAAAAGTGAATTTTGTTTTTGAAAGATTTGTTTAATAAAGAAAGAGAATTACGTTTAGAAAGAATTGTAAATATGGCTGAAATTGAAATTAGATTTCAAAAAACACACTTATTCCATCCAAATCAATTCAAAATATTATTTTGAAATACAGCAAAGTAGTTTGCTTATTGGGAATATTAACTTTAATTAGTTTGAAACTAAAACAAAAGCTTCTTCAAGAAAGATTCTTCATTTTAAAAAATTCATTTTATTTTTAAAAACCTTAGGTCTCTCATTTTTCCCCAAGTTACCTACATTAAAAACTGGTAAACATGTCTTGGACATTATCCAACGTGGATAGAATTGCAATAAAGGTATTAATTACGATACGAACGACCTTTTTAGTCTTGAGTTTGCAACCAGTACTGGCTCATTAAAGAAAGACTAAAAAGTGTAGTAAAAAAACCGAACGTATTGTTGCAAACTCGAATGAAATGTGTTCCGATGAATCAGTGAGTAAAAAAAAAAAAAAACTTTACTCACTGATTTATCGGAACATTTTTCATTTCTGTTTTTATTCATTGTATAACAGATTAATGAATGCTTAATAATAATAGCTAAAATGAACTGTTAAATTGTGCTCGAAAATAAATGAACACGTTCTATTTAAGAAGTGTGTTTTAAAATTTCACGAGTTGTGAGTAGGTAAATTTTAGAACTTGCCCTATGTCCCTCACCAACATTCTTCTCTTTACAAACAACTGAACCGATTTCATTGGACAGACTGTTTTAAAAGGAAAAGCTTAGCTCGAAATCATTGATAAAATGAACGTTATGGGATTAAAGAGGTTAAGCAACTCTAAATGTTTTAAGTAAGTCTCTCTAGACAGTTGAAAAAATTCAAAGAAAAAAGTTGAAAATGAATAAAAACCAATAGTAATAATAATATTAGTCTCTAAAAGGTGTTTTAGTTTTTTCACAATATCACTTCGTGACTTTAAGGAAATCATCACGAATGGCTTTTGATGAAAAATCAGTCTCTATGGGAAACCGAAAAATGGTTTCGAAGTCTTTATTGTCCCTACTTATTTTATCATCGTTGGCTGTTCTCTTTCCTTGCGACGAATTTTGATAGTCATAATTTACCCATGCTGTGAACAAAAATTACATAACTAATTCTAAATTTAATTCTTAATTCCGTTTTCGAAAATGGATTTTTTTCCCGCCAGAAAGGGTCTGAAACATGAATACATAGAAAAATAAATAAAATAAAATTCAAAAAATTTAATACAGTAGATAATGAACATTTATATATAGGAATATAAACATTAATTTTTAGTGAATCGGGTAATTTGGTAATATTTTGTAAAAATTAAAATTGAGATTTCAATTTTTTAAAAACTAATGTCATAAAATTTAAAAAGATAAAGTTGGTTCTTGTTTAATGTGCTGCTGTAAGAATAAGATTAATGTGCTAAGTTAAGTAGTTCTAAAAAATAACCAGTACATTAATCTTGAATCCAACTTGCAATATCAAATTCTTATTGAAGTTCTTGTCGATCATTAGTTACAGCAAACAAACGTGAAATAAATAGCTGACAAAAAAAGCTGGCCCTTTTCGCCCCACTGGTTTTAACATTTATTATTATTACCATCAGTTTTCTTTTACTTTTGTTGAGTACTAAACATTTATAGCGAACTCACTTGCCAGATATTTACAACAATCATGCTTCTAGCTAGTTCGAATTCACAATACCGGTATGTTATACAAATGCCGCCACGCCAGCTTAATTTTTTTCAAGCCAAATAATACGTATAAAAAAGCCAAATACCCATGATTTTATTTATTTATTAATTAGTGGAAATGTAGGCGTTTTATAATGAAACTACTTTATTATTTATTTCAAATTTAATTTATAGCTGTAAATTTGGAAATGTAATTTTAAAATTCAAACAAGTCTGATTCGCTGGACAGTCTACTCTTGTTTCTTGTTTTTTTTTTCTTTGTAGGATTTTATGATTAAAACCAAAAACGTTTTTTCAGATAAATTTCATAAGATTTCATACCTAATTTATTAAATTTAATGATAGAATAATAACTTTTATAAATTTAATTATTCGTTTTCTTTAGGAGTGTAGCATCCGTAAGACTTTTTTTTCATTTAGAGCGTCGAACACGTGAAAGACTAGGAAGAAAAGGTCATTAGTTTATTTATGATATGGATAATTATGAAAGAGAAATTTCTTCCTTTTGGCGGGCTGCTGAAATTGACATAGATTTGTAAAATTATTATTCTTATTTTCATTTTGTTTTTTACAATAAATTTCTGGGAGCCCTTCTGGATTAAGGACATAAGAAAGGGCCGAAATCTCCCATAATTCAGGCGTATCACTGAGGTTTAAAAAAAACTGTAGCATAGCAGCTATTATATATTTTAGCAAAAAAAAAAAAAAAAAAAGACATTTCTGAAACTTGGCTTCAAAAATCCACTCTGGTAACTCTGCCATCACCATTTACTGCATTGCGAAGAATGTATGATTATTTACCCGCTGCCCAACGCAGCAAGATGTGGCACAAGGCCGAGTTTAAAGTGGGGATAACCGAACCCGTAGGCTCAGGCAAAAATTCCCCATGTCTTTACAAGGGAGATTATCATTTTTAAAAGTGACATTAAAAAAAAATGTTTTAACATTAAATAATTTTAAAAACATTAAGAATTCTTTAAATTGTGAAAGTTTAAGATTAAATACAGAATTTTTAACTTCTAGTGTTCTAAAACAATAATAATTATTGTTATTTTTTATTTTATTTTTTTAAACAACAAAATTTGTATATTTGTCATTTTATTATAAATTCGTAGGGAGTGGAAGCAAGTTGTCGGCCCTTGTCAAATAGTAGTAGTAGGAGCAGCAACAATTTAATTTCCTATTCGAGCCAAGTAGCCGACAAGTTGAGTCGCATTTTCAACTCGCTCTTGTGGAGAGACAGCTTTGCTTCAATAATGGGTAGACCGAAGTGTTTCTTTGACGTTGCCATCGATGGAAAACCGACTGGTCGGATCATATTTGAACTCTACAACGACATAGTTCCTAAAACAGCTGAGAATTTCCGAGCGTTGTGCACTGGAGAGAAGGGCTTTGGCTACAGAGCATCTACTTTTCACCGGGTCATTCCCAACTTTATGCTTCAAGGCGGTGACTTCACCAACCATAATGGCACAGGAGGCAAAAGTATCTATGGCTCGAAATTTGCTGACGAGAATTTCATCAAGAAGCACGATGAAGATGGCCTGCTGTCTATGGCTAATGCCGGTCCCAACACCAACGGTTCTCAATTCTTTATCACTACCGTACTGACGCCATGGCTTGATGGCAAGCACGTCGTTTTCGGCAAAGTTATCGAAGGGATGGATGTTGTAAGAGTTGTGGAAAAGACAGGTTCTCAAAATGGAAAAACCGCTAAGAAAGTTGTCATTAGCGAATGTGGACAACTTAATTGACGTTTCTGAAAAAAACGAATCGTACCACATAAAATGAACCTACTTTAATGCTTTATGGTTAACGCTAAAAATCTATAATAAAAGTCAGGTGACAATTTCACCGGCATTTTCCATTTATTTGTTTTTGTGTATTTTTTTTTCTTCAGAGTTTGACAACTTTATCAATTTAACGGTGCCATGTGGTTTTAACTTTTTAATGTATTTCATATTTATTTAAATGCCTGCTTTACAATGTATCGTAAACTGATAACGTGCTAATTTTTTTTCTATTAAGATGGCGCCTTTTTTTTCTACGTCCATTTGCTGCAGTTAAGACAAGCTTAATAAAACGGTAAGTGGATATTGTCTGAATACTGTCCCGCTTTTTTTTTTTTTTTTTTCATAGGTTATCTCTTTGTTTAAATCTCGATGTTTACATGTACACTTATCCTGATTTCAGTAAGAATTCGCGATAATTGAAAAATGAATCCTACTACAATCTCTGTATCGTGACTTGGCCGTGCGTTTCATATAACTAATGTTTTTCAAAAAAATCTTGTGCCCTCATTCCGATCGAATATAATTTTGAAACAAGGGAGTATTTTTTTTCTAAGGACATGAGTGGTTTCGGAAGTTAACTTTTAATAAGTTTAAACCGGTTAAGTTTCTTTTTTGTAAATTTTGAAAAACTCTTCAAACCTTGGCCTATTTTCTTTTTTTTTTTTTTTTTTTCCCTCAATTAAAATGTAGGGTAGAAAAATTATTTGATTGGTAGATTCGCTTTTTGTAAACCAATCATTAAAATATATCGTTTATGCTTTTACTAAGTTTAATCTCGAGAGATTAAACAAATTTGCTTACCTCCTATCAATAGGATTTGACAAATCATTTGAAGAAATGACTTGATTTTAATATTCAAAAATTTCTGCAATTCCAGCATAGACTAATAAAATTACTCAATTATGTTATGGCTAAAATAAACAACGATTTTTTTTTTTTTTTTTGCCTGAACCCAACAAGTCAATATTAAAATGAGTGCTAAAAAATTCTATTCCTACATCACGTGAGTTTTCCATATTTTATTTCATGCTAAAATAAAAAGCTGTCTCGGTTTTAAAATATGACTAAACTTTGACGATTAGGTATTAAGGAGGCTTTTTAATTAATTTAAATACTTTATTTCGATTTTTTTTATTACTACATTCTAAGTACTATCCTCCCACGTGGGCTTAGTGTTAAATTGTATAAACTGGGTATATACACTTTTGTGACGTTAGACTAAAACTGGTAATAGTTTGTAAGGACATTTTTCATCCCCCGAAATGAGTTGTTTGGTATTTTGTAAGGATGAAGAGATATTTATTGATGTAGCTTTTTTTTCCCGTTTGGATGAAATTGTATTTTTCTTTGTTCAGACGATATTCATTTCCTTTAATTAAAAATCTTATTGGATACAACGGCTTCAGAAGTAATTCATTTTACAGGGTGGTCCGAAAGTATTGTCACCATTATAATTTTCTATTTCAGATGGCTGACACGAAAACTTCATACAGGCCTTGATTTGACAGTCGAAAATGAAAACTGAATCCAGTACATGTGCTTTCTACTTGTACTATTATCGTTACTTTTTAGAGATGACAAGACTTTCGGACCACTGATATAAATGGACCTCGATTTTGTAACCTCTTACGGAAATATGGCTACGAGAAAATGCCAGTATACTCGGCTGAACTTTCTAGAACCATTCCAATCTGCTCAACGTAAAACTTTACTCGACTTCCGAAGCCTCTTCATACGGGATTTTTCACGTAAATTCATTGATTAATATTGATCCTCCCATATGAGCGGAAAAAAAAAATGCGACCGAAAAGGTTTTTTTTTTTCTCCTCCCTATCTCTATCTAAAATTACAGATAATACTCCAGTGGCAAATTATCAAAGCCAGAAAATTTTCGTGTAGGAATCGAGGATAATCAGGATCCAATTAAAATTAATCTCCTAAACTGTACATTTCCAGTACTTAATACTGTTTTGTTCTTGTTTTTTTTTTTTTTTTTTTTTTTTATACCGAATTTCTTTTAGATTGAACAGGGGTGGGGACTTCGCTAGTGGAAAAAAATTACTTGTAATTTTTTAGTGCGATCATCGGTTGTTCGTCACCAGTGCTTTTTTTTTTTTTTTAAGGCATTCTTCAAGATTCAAAATATAAAATTTATAATGCTTTCTTGGTTTGAACGGTTTTTTTTTTTTTTTTGTATTATGTACAAAAAGGACTATCACAATTCTGATAGTTATTTCAATTTCACATATTTTAATACTTAATGTCCGATATTAAAAGCAAATATTTCATTTTCCGTTCATTGTCTTTAAAAGTAGTTTTCCAGTCTATTGGTAAGTATTTTTGTCTTCGCGTTTCACTCCATTTAATTCTTTCTTAACCAATGGGTAATTTTCAGTTTCTTTAAATTCAAGAAACTGACACTTAAATACATCTCTGGCACAAATATTGTATTTAATTTAGGTACCTCCACGTACGAAATCTCTACAAAATGAGCATAGCATGATGGAAAAGACCCAAAGTTTTTTAATTATTTTACTTCTTTTTAGAACTTTCTAAATTTATTAAAGAAACTTGTCTCTCTTGGTATCACCAGAACTAGTAAAATTTTTTTCTTTTTTTTTCGCCTGATACCTCACCCCCTTAATTTTATCGTCCCTATTTTTATTTTTTTAATTAAAAAAACTTTCAGGAATATAAATCAAATTTTCATTTAAAATTTGGCTCGCAAGAACCCCAATTTTAGCTCTGAATTGTACAAAAATGCAAGAAAACTAAGACATTTATTTTATATAAACAATGGATTTTTTTTTTTATCAGTATAAGGACTTTTTGTCTGAAGTGTTAAAAAAAAAAAAAATTTTTTTCCAAATAAGTGATTCTAATTTCATAAGTTAGAACAGTTGCCCTTCATGTTTTTCACTCATTAAAAAAAAAATCTATAGATAAGTTAAAGCTTATTACGATCTGTTACTCGCAGCATTTTTTAAAATTTGATATATATATAAAATCTCGATATATGAATTTCCTTTTCAGTAAGACATGCTGCAAATTTTTTTTTAAATTCAAATTTAGGGACAAAGGTGTCATTGGGGAAAAATTTCATCACAAAAAAAAAAAAAAAAAAATTGTTTAAGGCGTTTGTATTTGTCATGAAAGACATGTGGCAAAAAGAAAGGAAAAAAAAAAGTCATCTGTTAAGTGTTGTCATCACCCGGGTCAGTAGGTGTTAAAACAAATTTTTTACTATAGCACACCTGAAGTGACTTAAGTTTAGAAACCCTCAAAAAAACAGCTGTGCTGAGATAAAACTTAATTTTTTTTTTTTTTTTTTTTTTTAAATGAACATAAAATTGTGTAGATAAATTTTTTTATCTTTATAAAATTTGAATTATAAATGTACTTTTTTCGTAATTTAAATGTTGCTTTTATTCTAGAATTCTGCCTCAAACGTAAGGTTAAAAAAATTGGATGTGTGTGGTGATATATTAATGAACTGGTTCACTTAAGCTAGAACGATTTATATCACTTTCCCCTACCGTCCAATAAATTACGCTGACGCAAATTGACTGATTTACGTACATCTCAATCAGGCTAAAAAGAAAAAGCACCACGGTTGGAAATCTTTTACAAAATTTTATGATGAAAAAGTATGATTACATTCATTAAGCATACTTAAAATTTTCCTGAAATAACTTCTGAAAAAAGGATAATTGAATTTTACAAGATTTTTAAATGGGAAACTTTACTTTTTTCATAAAAACTGTCAATGATGGCTGACATGATTGATTTTTACGTCAATTTTGATGACTAGCTAAAGTTTTGGACATGCTTGAAAGAATTCAAAAGCTTTAAAAAATACTTTGGTCTTTACTCTTAATGATAAACATCTAGACAATACAAAATTTTTCAAATCAAGTTTGAGGCATTTTTTTTCATCAGGGTATGCGTTTTTGTGAAATGGTGCTCATCCCTAATTTTATGAAAACGCTAGAAATTTGCTCGCATCGGGTTTAGTGATTACAAAAAGCACAAGGCTTTGAGGAAAACAAATCTCTGAATTGTAACATACAAAAACTCAAAACAAATATTTAATTTCAAATGCTTTTATTTACTTTTAGTTTTTATGAATATGAACTATTTTCTGAAAGCAAAAGATTTTTTCGATGAAAAACGGATTTTTAATACAATTGTCATTTCTTTAATATTATTTTTTACATTTAAGTCGTTAAAATTAGTTAAAAGCCGCATCAGGTTTCCTAAGTATCCTTATGAGATAGGTCTCTCTTCTTTTCTTTTTTTTTTTTTTTTTTTTTAGCGCGTTATAAATTGTATCATTTTATTTTTGACTATTCAGAAGATCCGCAATAATTAAATGTAATTTTGTGTTTATAATCACGCTGTAATTATAACGTACGGAAGACCAACCATAATACAATTAAGTTGCGTTATTTGAGTTAAGCATTGTTCTCCGCTGTTAAGGCATTTACTTTTGCGAAACACGTGTGGAGAAGTTAATTTGATTTTTCAACTGAGACTGGTACCTACAAGTATCGGTATCATCCTATGAAATTATGATCTTATTTTTATATTAATCTCAGTTATGACATTTTTTTTCCCTGAATGAAATATCAAAATTAATAAAATGAATGGAAATACAAATAACAGTAAAATGTAATAAATTTACATAAAATTTAGTATTTTATGTACCCTTCTGATAAAATTTCATAAATGTACTTATAAAATTAATTGGATATCTTATGGAATTTAATCTCCCTCTTCTTAACAGATTTATTTTAATTTCTTTATTATATATTTTCCATAAAGCATTGTAATCGTGAAAGCTAAGTACAAAAAACAAAAATTAGAGCGCTGAAAGTTTTCCTTAAAAATAACGAGGTAAATAATTTGTTCCCTTAAATCTAAATAACTTATCGCCTTCCGTAGAACAAATTATGATCACGTAATCCGTCAAACGTCATTCAACACCTGGCAAGTGACGCGGCAAGTGCTTTGTTTTATTCTCTTTTCGACGTAGAAGCTAAGTCAACCTTGGTTCAAAATATTTTAAATATTTCTGATTTTCTTTTCTTTGAGAAAATGATAATTGATTTTTAAAAGAATTTCAAAGTGAGATTTTCATCTTTTTTTTTATAAAATGGAAAAAAAAAATGGAGGCCATGATCGATTATCTCTCAATTTTGCTGACTCAAAAAAATTTTTTTAACCAAAATTTCGGACGTGCTCGGAACGATTAAAAAATGTAAAAAAAAAAAAAAAAACCAAATACTTTGATGCCTCTTAATAATAACAAACATTTAGACGATACAGTTTTGTTTTCAAGTTTGGCGTCTTTTTCATCATGTTATGCTCTTTTTAGCGATTTCATGGAGGTACCTTTAATTTAAAAAAACCTTAAAATTTGCCATTTACTATTTTTCGTATACAACAATGTCAGCTGTGACTGACGCAAAAAGTGTGCTGAGCAACTACGATACCTACAGATTCAGAATATCTTAATTCTGATTAGCCTTTGAGGCCCTTATCTTTCAAACAGGATTGAAATTAAAGTTCAAAAGATGCATTTATAATGCGTGCTTTCACGTTAAAGTAATTTCTTTCAGTTCTGACCCTCTTGCTTAATTTCCCATCAAGAAGTCGGAAAAAGAACTGGATTTTTTTCCTTTCAATTTTCTAACAGTAACGTCTATTATCCGCTAATTCTCAAATAAACGTTTTCAAGGAAGCTTTTTTAAGAATTGTGTTGCCTTCTGATATGGGCGAAGTTATAGTTTATTGCAGGGGAGTAAAAAATAAATAATATTCAATTAAAACTGAGATATCTCTTAAATTTTACTGTTGGAAGTACTTTGCTTATTGGGAATGTTAAATTTTAAAAGTAATCGGTTAGCTTAGAATTAAAAGCTTCAAGATACATTTTATTTTTTAATGTATACTTGGCACTTGGGCATCGCTTTGTTTTTGGATAACATTCCGGATGAATGTTAACGGTTTTCACACACACACACACACACACTATATTCTTTAACCTCTTCACATTTTTTTTTAAAAAGAAAAAACGTGCACAAACATAGCTTTATAAGTTTAAAAAAAAAAAAAATTTACAATGAGAAATATTCATTTCTAACAATTTTTTTTCTTTTCCCCCCTCCTTTCTTTCCTCTGCAATGAAGGGAGGGAATGTTGGCTTAAGAAAAGCAATATCGTCTCCTACTTTCCCGCCAAAAGTACGTCGAGGTAGCTAGACAATTTTCGTTGTTAATTGTTAAACTCTTATATATGTAATTGTATTTTCGCAGTTCTCGGATGTCCGAGCGTCGTTATTTTCCATATTTTAGTCCCCAGACAGGTTTTTATGAGCATCTACGACAGCGTGAAGCTACCCTCGCCTTTTACTGGAAATTGTGCGATTTTTTTTTCCTTTTATTATTTTATTTATTTAAATTTTTTTTTTTTGTGTATGTGGGTATCGTTGAGTTTCGAACAATTTCAGTATACCAAATATTA